TCCCACTGCTGAGCAAAGGCCTCTTCTCATATGGAGAAGGTTAGAGCATTAATTACCACGCTTGCTCAATGCGGGATGGCAATTTCAAACTTATAATTACAAATTATAAGTCCAGGTTTCCTCACGATGTTTACCTTCACCGTATGTCAGTGATGTCTAAATAATCATAGAAAGTAGGGACATATAACTTGGAAAAAGTCACATTGGTACTTGCCGAGTTTCAAACCCGCTCCCTCATGCATGAGAAGTGGGATCCTTATCCTCCGGGCCACCACGTCCACCTTTTATTATCCGGGCCACCACATTTTATTACTTATTACCTTTACCTAATTAAAGATTTACCATTCCTTTTAGCCAAATGCTCATTGAGTTATTTTTGTCACAAATCCTGCAACTGATAGATACATGGCAGCTAATTTTGTCAACAAAACGCAGTAAAAAAGTTAAGCGATAAGCGAGTATTTACGGCCGAGTGTTTATCCGGACCTATCTAGTCGAGTTGGCAGCGCCTCAACCGAGCTACTGGCGCGAGTTACTAGCGCCAGCGATAAACGTAATTGGTTCTCCCTAACGTTTGTATCTCGGTTTGTTTTGAAATAGCATTTTGAATGAATTGGATCCTACCTACTTACAACGAAATTATTTTATTTTCTAAATGACTCGTGTTTTTATTCTTTCTATTTTTTCCTGATAAATATTTTGACTGCACGGTATGTGCGGTGGCTGGGCAACTGGTTGCCGTGCAACTTGTCGCTGGTTCGATTCTCAGGATGATTATGAGGCGTTTCACAACTACATAAAATTAGAATAACCAGAGAAAACCCTTTGAAAACCAAAGAAAGTTGTCGATTTCCTTGGTAACCCTGACAACCAACAACCAACAACAACAACAAACAAAACATAGTAAAGGATCGCCATGGAAATTAATAACTATATAACAAAACAAACGAAAAAAGTATACGATACTAAAGGGTTACCAATTGTTTCTGGCGATTATGGCATGCATGATATCTTATTTAATCACCACATTTCTTTAAGGCAAGTCCTATTTGTTCAGTTGTCAGTAGTCCACGTTTACAGGTTGTCAGCATCCAGCATACATAAAATATCCAACATTACTTACCTACATAAATCGTCGCCATGTTGTAATTTTTCTTGCAATAAAACAAGATCTCAATACTTATAAGTTTTTATTCATAAAGCGGTTTGTTTATCGTTTTTACTATTAACATGCATTGAAATCGTATTTTTCTTCAACCTTGTATGGAATGTTAGAATTCAGGTATGTATGAGGTAAGGTCTGCTGTGACTCGGAAAAATTGAACTATTAACGACTCGACCGGAATGATACCACTGCCTCATGGCGAACCGATGTGAACGACACTTGTAATGTGTTTTGTCAAATGAGGTAACAGAATGCCCAAACCTTTCCCCCCAATTCCCGATCCACACCATCAAAAAAAAGGGCTTCACTGCACTTTAAGCTCCTCTCGTGTTCATCAAGGACAACCCGTAGGACACGGTGGAGCATACGGTGGTGGTATCCTGCGTGGACTAAGCACCACCGTGTTTGAAAGATAGGCGGCGATCTCTCGCGTCTGGACTAAGTCAAGGTCAAGTGGTGGAGCGAGAGGATCTGGGAAACTTTTTCTGCAGAAGGAGTTGGATCACGTGAATGGTTACCATCAAATGACCTGTTTGTCCTCTAGCCGCCCTATAAAATTATTAATACATACATATCATGGAAATAATTATCAGTTGTTAGCATTAGTATCGCACATTTATGACAGAAATACCCTTGGCAGAATCGGTAACTCTGTATACTCTATGGCGTAGAGCTTAAGTGCTATAATAATTTCAAAACGATTTGATCAACATTATTTATCCAAACACCTCTAAAAAGACCACACAGAATTTAAAAGCCTAAGGTATACAATCGAATGATTTCCCACACAGCTAGCAAGCACCCAATAAATTAGCATACTATCATAATATGCGGAGTAAATCACAGTTATCATAACGAGCGTATTTCGGATGGTGGCTTCGAGTGCTCTGGAATACCACTCGGGCTTTCTGCTTGACCTATAACGCGTACGTGAGCGTTATAGTTAGTTGTACAGTACTATAGTTAGTACTCCCTGTAGGTCGATCGGTGATTTATTTAAAATAGGTGTAGTATGGGACTGTTTTCTTATTACCTATTTTATTGTTACATTATTATGGAATTATTTTTCACTCTAGTGTATGTCCGTCTGTGTCTGTTCGTTATAAATTAAAAAAATTTAACCTATGTATATAGGTACTTTTGAAACGTTAAAATAATGTAATAGTCCGTCAGTTTGATTGAAAAGTTGTGTTAAAGCTAGCGTTCCAAATTGTAGATTCGAATTGAGAACAACGAGCAAGAAACTTCATTGTTTTTCTGTTAACTACAGTGAGTTTTTTTTGAAGAGAGAAAATCGATTGCCTTTTTTCCTCTGGGTAAGCGAAAAGTGTCAGACTCTTACTGAAACAAAGCTATAGCGTTCCTTCAGCAACTTTTTGGTTTATTAAGCTCGACCAACAACATCGGATGAAGATCTACGCACCAATGGATGAAGTGATTTTTGAAAAAGGTTTGTAACATTATTAGCTCATTGATAAGTGGACTCTAATAGGAGGTTATATGAGATTATTTTCATATGACAGTAGAATACAATTTGTACTAGTCTTGCAACAAGCGTCTCTTTACAAACGAATGCAGTTCCCAAACTTACATTATTGTTAAAACATTATAAATATGTTTGCGATGAAATTACGATAAATTGTGAAGCTGGCAGGTCCCCAAGTTTCCAACACTTAATGTGAAGCACTAGCCAATGAGATAGTTACAAGTTATTCACTTTGACTTATTATTGTTGTTTACATAATACTATACGCTTTATTTGACATAGATACTAAGATTGCATCCGTTATTTATGTTTTTCGTATAGTTGATTATTATTATTCAGAACAAGGACATTGATATGTGAGATTTTTGTGTGTTTTTTATTGAAATGGCAATTATTTTGCCAAGTGATAACTGATTTTAGTTACATTTTAGAATCATTTCAGATGAAAAATCCTGAGGAGAACTGCTTAGTGCGTGTGAATGGGATGTTTTGCCGATTTGCTACAGATTTCTCTTAAGTTTTTTAGTTTTCATAAACATTGAGAGTTTATATGAAGTTAGTAAGATGCTAGTATTGCACGATAGTAAGCTAAAAGTATTCAAAAGTGTCTTAGTGTACTTTATAAAGAGATTCGTTCGTCCAACAATTCTTTGAAGTTGGTTCAAGAACTTTATCTGCAATTTCAACATGTCATAACACAATACATAGGTAGGTACACAGTATACACACACCATTAATATTCTTAATGATCGTAACGATTTCAAATGACTTAAGCGGCATTGAGATTAAAACCGACACATGCGCTTGCGCACGCTTCGGAAGTAATCATTCAAATCTTTGTGTTCACTACGCTACAGTACTGACACATTGTCATTTGCGACATCGGTGACTAAATGACCTAAAACCAATAATAAACCTTTACCTCTTTGACATAAGCGTTGAAATCGTGTGCCTGTAAATTTACTGTTCGAACCTGTCAATATAATTGATGTGTAGTCAAGTTTTGACCGCCCACTATGCTAAAAACTTTTTTTTCTTTTCTGTACAATGGTCGCATAAAAACAATGCATAAATAATGTTTTCGTGTACAACCGTTGGCGGTTTCACAATGAACCTATTCCATTGGAATAGAGGTTATTTTTGCGTGCAAGGTTTTGATGTTTTGACTAGTTTGGAATAAGTAAATTCTCCGTAGGTATTTATGAAGTGCGTGTCCCGCTGATTTTGTTTCAAAAGAATTTCTTGAATGTTTGCTTATTTGTCACAAGATGTCTTTTCTGCCAAGTTATTCTCGGGACTTTCTTGGTTTATACTATCATTATTTTAGGAGATACTGCTTACTTCCTGATATGAAATTTTCTTTTTCTTTCTTTCTTTCTTTTAACGGCAGTTTCATTCAAGGGTGCATCGGTTTCATTGTAATATGACTTTAGCTAAAGTCTACTGTATTTTTAAACAGATTAAAATTTTGCGTTTCTGTTGACTTTTAGTTTGATTACTATCACTGCACTGTTACCAGCTCTATATTGTCCCTATATACAAAAAAGTTGACTGACAGGTTACTGTGTAAGGAATTTAATGATTGTTGAAGATGTATCCGAACTAATATATGATGACGGTTCCGAAAACGGACTCCGAAAATGCATTGTCTTTTGTTTTAACTGAGTCATTATAAATGATTTGTGTGTATCAAGTGTTTTTGGGATTAGAAATAACTGCCATTGGTGGAGTGGTTAGAAGGACAACAGCCATGCATATATGGTTTCGATAAAATTGGCCTTTGAATTTTTCTTACTAGGTACTTACTTGAAATTGCTCTATTATACATGGTGGAATTTTGAACGAGGGACATATTACGGTGCTCAATTACAACACTTTCCATGAGACCTTTATTCAAAATTCAATTGAAATCTCAAAAAATAAATTTATTTCCCTATAGAAATCCCAATACTTGACTGCGCGGTTGGCGCGGTGGCTGGGCAACTGGCTGGCGTGCAACGTTTCGTGGGTTCGATTCCCGCACGGAACAACTCTTTGTGTGATACACAGATTGTTGTTCCGGGTCTGGGTGCGACAGACGACATAGGAGAAAATCCTAGTGCGGGGCAACGTTTTGTTTTTTTTTTAAAGAAAAAAATACTCGAGGTGAGAGGGATTGATCATTTTGCATGGAGAAGTAAACATTTCTTTTTAGATTTTCGTATTGGTTTATGGATAAAGTTGTTTTAATTGAGCATCACAATCGGGTCCTTGAATATCATATATCAATCTGATGAATTTGATAAAAAACCAAGTCTTTTCCTTCATAAAAGTCCTGTAGTCTAATCTTATTTTTATCTTGGTAAGCAGGGGTTATAGTATCAATACAAGTGCGCGTGCGCCGGCGTCTCACAAAGTCTGAGAGCGACGTGTTGGGTCAGAGATCAGGCGAGTGCAAATATAACGGAGGCTGGAATACTGCCTGGATATCTTAGCTTTACTTCTTTATATTCTATTTTAAGTATCTATTTATATCTGCTTAGTAAATACTGATATTATGATGAGAGGTTAAATATCAGGAAGATTTTTTACTAATTATGTAAATAGGATGATAATGTCGTGGTGGCCCGGAGGTTAAGGAGCCCACTTTTCATGCATGAGGGTGTGGGTTCGAAACCTGACAAGTACCAATGTGACTTTTCTATGATTATTTAGACGCCACTGGCATACGGTGAAGGAAAACATCGTGAGGAAACCTGGACTTATAATTTCTAATTGTAAGTTTGAAATTGCCAACCCGCATTGAGCAAGCGTCATCAGCCTATAAGTGCCCACTGCTGAGCAAACCCCTTTCCACATACGGAGAAGGTTAGAGCATTAATCCCCACGCTTGCTTAATGCGGGTTGGCGATTTCTGAAGATCGAGAAGATTTCGATGATGAAGGGAAACAAGCAAACTTATCGCCGGCTAGTAAGCCGCCGTTGCCGAATGCAACAGCCATGGATGCCAGCTATGAACGCTGTTCCAGTTCAGAGTCCAATAACCACATTACCCGGCGAAAACCAACTCTAGCGCTTTTTCATTACGGTCGAGAGCCCATTCGTGGCGAAGCATGGCTGTCCCACACTAAAAAAATCTTGTTTACTTATTAAGAGTTATTTATTTCAATACTTTATTAGAATATCGCTTACCTAATACATTTAGAGATAAAATATTTCATGTTGAATGTCATACAGCAGTACAGCAGTACACATATTTGTCAAACGCTCAAACATTCCCAGCGTAACACGTATTCTCCCACAGAATCTACAAATGATTACCAAACAAACAAGTTTTCAATGAAAACAAACAATATTTATTTCACTTTTCTTTCAGAACACCACTTAGAGTCATTTCCTATAGAATTATGTATGCAGACACGCGATACTTCAATTACTAAACAACCAATCTAAACTGACACCTCATTTGTTTCCCTTTAAACGGAAGTCTAAAGAAATGGAAGCTTCTGATAGATCAATGTAAGCTGGTTTATATGAGCTTATTATGATAAGTTGTTCTCAAAAATAGTTAAGTTGGTTGTCAAGTTAATAGTTCTGTGCTTCTATAATGATAATGTGGACCTTATTATGTGCACTTAGAGTTGGATAAAAGTTTTACAGACCTTTTCTTGTTGGTAATAGTAATAGAAACTTTGTGTTCGGAACTTTTTTGAGAAGGAAATTATTTCTCTTATGTAGTTTTCTTCTTAAATGACAAGCGAATGTTGGCAAATTTATTACAATAAGAATAGAGGGGCATATTATACTTTATAGATAGCTTATTTTTACTTGATCAAACCTAATTTGATAATTTTAGACACAATAGTGATATGATACTTATCCTTTCTTAGAGCGAAGTAATTATCTTAGCAGAAACTTTGATAAAAATCTTAGATGACTAAATCTTGAACTACCTATCTAAGTAATACATCTGATACACACCTGAAGGTACCTGGTACTCGAGTGGGAGCGCTGATCTTTAACCCCACACGTGCACAACAAGGTTCACACTTTATACTGATAAATTATCAGCCAAAGTTAACAGCTACTAGCCATTAACGTTCTTAGATTAATTCAACTATTAACTATGAAGGACGGAGTTTAACAATTCCTGTACAAACATTTATTCAATAGTTATTCAAACTTTGAATACAATAATGCAATCAATATTAATAATTCTGCTGGCATGGTTTACAATATTTTACGTGTGCGTAAATACGCTTAATATATTTAGGTATTTGAGGTTAATAAAGACGTTTTAAAGTTAAAAAAAAGGTTAAAATTAAACTCGAATGGACTTAATTATCCACGCCCCGTTTTAAATAGCTATTATATCCTAGTTTCACAAAAAAGTTAAAAATTCTACTTCAGTCTTAATAACTTGAAAAAATATTGCTAAAAAAACTCGTCACAAATGTCAACTGCAACCTTATTTGTAAAATAATGCGTCCCAGTTGACGGTTAGCTGACCTCTGGTCTATTCATACTGGTCTTAGATTATTATAACATAGAAATAGGTTCATCCGTATTAGTTGTAACAACGAGATAATTCAAAAATGCCTGTTCAGTCAACGCCGCCGATACAACGTAAGCCGCCGATACAACGTAAGCCGCCATGATGGATGATGGCCGATGACAGTAATGACAGTTAAATGCGTTCGGATATTCTTCTAATAATATGTCATTAGCTGGAGCTTAAGGCTGTATATGTGTTGACGTGTGCCTATTATAAGAATAGGAGGTATTGCCACGTTTTTATTTTTGTCGATGATTTAATGAATCTATTGTTTTAAAGTGAAGATGATAATATTTTTTGACAAAGGTGTTTGCACATAAAATGCTTAAATTAAAATTAGTGTTACTTATTTACTAGCCAACTAATTCTAGCTATGTAAGTAAACTTTCACACAAACTATCAAAATCATTTTCATACTTATTTCGAATCAAGCCGTTTCCTTATTACCTGCGCTTATATTTGAAATGTTCGAGGAAGCAATGAAAGTCCCAGTGATTATAGTTTTTAACGTCACATTTGTTTAAAATAACGATACGTTTAGTTCGAATATCAGTCATAAAGCCGTCGCTGTAATAATAACTAACGCTTTAACTATAGCTCGTGTAGTGTTGCCAGATATGGGCCCCTATTTTCGGATAAGGAATTTTAATTCTTATAGAATCATAATGACGTTCTATAATAGAACAATATTTTTATATTTCAAAAAAAGAATCTAAAGTAAATAATATTATGCATAAATAGATTTCGATATGGTTTTGTAAAAGTTTTGCTGTCATAAAAAGAATATTTTTCTTCATTTCCCCAAACTATGATTTTCTCCAGTGTCATGGGCGCGTTTACAAACTTACAATTTCACATACACAACAAACTCAGACCTGTAACCACTATTTACATGTACATATTTCTGGATCACACAAACAGTTGTTCCGTGCGGGAATTGAACTTGTGACAGTTGCCCAGCCACCGCACCAACCTTGCAGTCTGTTGATGATGACAACAAATTTTCAGGCAAGAGTCCTGTACTTAACCTTTGGAGCTTGTTCAATCTATCAATTTTAAAGTTCTATACTCACAAAGTTAGTATAAAACACAAGCGTTTAGTCCCGGAGTATTATTTCACCTGGTCACACTAAACGCAGGTCTATTTTAACCCAGCGTTAAACGCGCGGTTACTGCTAGATTTATGGCGCGCCCGGTAACGTGACTCTTTGCTTTTTTTCAACAGCCGTCAATGGAAACGTTTGTTGCCACTTCTGTTATGTAATACGAATTTGTTTTGAAATAAAGGACTCAAGTTTATAAATTGTTCTTTCTAACAACAGGTGGTTTGTTGAGAAATATGTAGGTACTTGATATTTTCAATAAAATATGTGTAAGTCCATTAACACGTTTTAAATAAATCTATAATAGTTTTTGTTTTATGTGATAGAACGTCAAACGAGTTGGCATCACCTGATGTTAAGCAATCAGCGTCGCCCATGAACACCCACAACAACGGATAAGTTATGAGTTCATTGTCGACCATTTGGGAATAAGGGTTGTGTAGATTTTGTGACTCAGTCAAACAGTTTTTTGTTAAAGAATTCGTTTTCTTGTAACTTCTTTGAAGACAGTTCCAATCATGATGCAGAGATTGGCAGCTAAGCAACTAAATTACTTGTTCATAGGACATTTCATACAGAACAAAAGATTTAAGCTTTTTTTTATTTAGTCGTAGACCAACTTGTCTAGTCTGCAGCCAACCTCCAATTGGTCCTCCAGCATGTCTATAACAAAATGTACCGTTGTCTCACAAATGACTGCAATTTGTTCTATTTCAGACTAGCAGCCATTCCGACTCGCGCCTACATGGGAACTAAATTGGCTTTTCGCCAAAATAAGTAGTTTCCGAGTAGTCAAACAAATACCGTATTTAGATGAATGCTTCAGATCCCAAATTGTATTGTTTCATCTTATTTATGAAGTTATTACGTCGGATGTGGGACAGCGGCGTGCTTGGAATTGTTGCTACTGATGTGGATATTATACTTAATATTGTTTATAAAACTGCCGTGGTGTAGTTAATTTATTTAGTTTTAGTTGTTACTAAAAATTGAAATCTCTTTTACATTCAATATATAGTATTAGTATGGCCACCGTATACACAACCAAGGACAACAATGACCCAGTGTCCCTTTCACACGCATTCATTAGCGTAATGATATTAATCGTCTTACCAGCTGTGTATTGTTACGATTCAATTAGTACAAATGAAATCATGCACTAAACTCCAACGCAGATGTTGGCTTGACATCCGGCCCGCTCCTGCAACACCGACACCCCCATTGACCTGCACCATTATTGCTTTACAACAATACAAAATGGCCGACCAACTGTCATCCGATTCCAATTCGCGCACTTTCTATACAATTTGCACGCACGACTTCATTGTGTTCGCCAAAATTTTTGGAAATTCGTAAATACTGCAGATAATTTGATGTATGAATAGAGTTAATTACGGCATTTATTTATTGTATCCGTTTCATTGCACGCGGGGGTGGCACTGCCCCTGCTTTTATTAGCAATATGCGCCCTAAACTTTACGGTTTCCACTGGGGTGAGTTTAGCCATGTTGATTTATTTCTTTTGCAACGAATGAAAACATTATTTTTTGTCTGCGCTACACATAAAGGTGGCTGCGAGAAAGGTTGAGTTTTATTGAGGTAATGTTAAAATTGGCGGAAAATACATTTTTTGTATCGGCTGTGACGATTGTGAACACGAAGAGTTTTGTTCGAATCGAAAGAGGGATTTGGCTGTTCGGTAAAATAAAGCAAATTCTTTTGTGAAAGTGAAATAAGATTAACTGATGTTAAGGCGAAGTCTGCGCGTTAGATAATTCGCATCAGAATTTGCTTTTAAAAAGCTCGTTTATCAAGCGGACGTTAATTTATTTAATAA